ATAAGTTGGGATGTATCACGTTACATAATGTTCTCCATTTCCAGAACTCAGCCCCTCTTGCCTCTTTTTCGTCTGTATCTGCCATCCTCCCTGAATCTGTGCTCTGTGTGACCAGTAGAGATCAATCCTTCAGAATATAGGAAATATGGCATTCACAGTTCCCACGTCATCTTCATCTGCTTCCGCTGGAGTTACCTTGTGATCCGACTGCATTCAGCCCACTTTGCCCTGACTGAGTGCCATGAAGCCCATTTAGAAAATGTCATTCTGATGTGCTGCCATAAACTTCCAGAAGTACGCAAACAAAAGAAGGAAAAAAAGGAGATTATTTTTCACATTCGCATCTCAGCCACTCTAAAGGGAAAAACAGCAATTATGAAATAATCATGCAGTCATGAAGCTGTTTGATAATGTTTAAACTGGAGGATTTCAAACGTTCTGCACGTGGTCCTGAAGATGCAGCATCCATGGCTTGGACTGTGGGTCAGTTCTAGGGTGCTGCTGCCATGCGCTGAAGTAAACATTGCTGAGGCTATAATTGGGGTGGGAATTCCTATTTGCGTATGAATCACACTGACATTGGTTTCTCTGCTATCTATCGTAATACCAGAAAAGTCCTGGCTTGAGAGCAGCCCTGAGGAGAAGGATTTGGGAGTGCCGACTGATTGCAATGCAACACAGCCAGCAGTTGCTCTCACAGCCCAGAAGGCCAACTGCATCCCGGGCTGCATCAAGAGAAGGGTGACCAGCGGGGCGAGGGAGGAGATTCTGCCCCTCTGCTCTGCTCTCAGGAGACCCCACCTGGAGCACTGCGTCCAGTTCTGGGCCCCCAACACAAGGAGGACTGGAGCTGCTGGAGCGGGTCCAGAGGAGGACCACGAAGATGATCCGAGGGCTGCAGCACCTGCCTGCAAGGCCGGGCTGAGAGACATGGGGCTCTTCAGGCTGCACAAGAGAAGGCAGCAGGGAGACCTTCCAGCGGCCCAAAAGGTGCCTACGGAAAAGCTAGGGAGGGATTTGGTGTAGGAGCATACAGCAACAGGACAAGGGGAAGTGGCTTTCAACTGGAAGAGGGTCGATTTAGACCAGAGGTTAGAAGAAATTCTTCACTGGGAGGCTGGTGATGCACTGGAACAGGTTGCCCAGTGAGGCTGTGGATGCCTCCTCCCTGGAAGCATTCAAGGCCAGGCTGGATGGGGCTGTGAGCAACCCGGGCTACGGGAGGTGTCCCTGCCTGCAGCAGTGGGTTGGAACTGGATGATCTTTAGGGTCCCTTCCAACTCAAACCAGCCTATGGTTCTACGAAACGTGTGCCTGTCCCACCCAAACAGCCACGCTGCCTGTCACCAACTGGGATGATGCTGTTGCTCACTGCCCGACCCAGTCCTCATTAGGGACGCTGCAGTACAACACCAGCTGTCATCCCACAGATGGATGTGTCCCTCTTCTGAGGCGCAGCTCGAGCTGTTCTCCTTCAGAAGTTACCAGCTGATGGTGGCTCCCTGCAGGCTGCCTGGGGCAGGCAGGGCAATGCGTGCTGCATGGTGATAGAAGTGGTGCTGAGGTCCTGACCTTCACGTTATGCATGTTTTAATGGGACTTCAATCTTGAGTTCTCCCGTGTGTGAGAATGAGCTGCTGCTTGGAGGATAGCTTCTGATTCACTTTTAGCCAAAGGGAATCCAGACTGTGGATGCTGAGGCAATGCATAGCAAAGCACAAGTGGGTATTGACAAGAGATTTGCTCTAAGAGTGCTGTCCTCTCCCCAGCTGGACACACCTTATCTCAAAGCATGGCTCATTTCCTATGGAGGCAACTGGAAAAGTAACTCGCTACGAAATGAATCAAAGAGCAATTTTAATGTAAAAGTAGTTAGAGTGCAAAGTATAGCAAAAAATATTGTAAGTAGAGCCATGGGAATTTGAGTGTCAGAGCTCTATTAACAGCTAGTGCAAATCTGTGCATCTTCAGACACTTGTTCTCCCTCTGGCACATCCTGAGTCTCCTGGAGTCAACAACACTTCTGACACTTATTTGGTGGCATCAGAATCAGGCTCTTTGCATGCAATGTCTGTTTAATTGGGTGCCACTAATACAGGATTTGTTTCAGATTTACATCCCAGTGAAATACAGCATGTGCCACCTGGGGTTGGTTAATGCTGCCCTGCACTGACAGTACGTGCCAGGGGACACATCGCTCTGCATCAGGGATGAGCACGACAAAACCGAGCAGTCCTCCAAAGAGAATCACAGAAGCAGGGTAGGCCGAGTTGGATCACCGAGTCCAGCTCCCAGAGAAGCATTTTTGTTATCGAAAGCCCAGCTTTGAATCAGTTCCACCTGTACCAGAAGTGCTGAAACAGAGGAGCCGGGGTTGCCACAGGCTGAGGGTCTGCACAGCACCTCCTGCTGCACTCCGCACAGCTGAGCTCTGTGCAATCAGCACCCGGCCTCTTGCAGCACTCAGCTCTGGCTGTTGCTGCTGCGCAATCAGCATGTGCAAAGCACAGCATCACCCCTGGGTTCTGGGTAGCATGGGGATGCCCAGGGCTCATCCTGGCAGCTTGGGGCCAAGGCGTGGTTGCACCACGCTGAGATGGAGCTGAGCCCTGGGGCCAACCAAAGGAGAAAGCAGGAGACCAGACACTGTGCTTACGAGGACAGAAAACGCACATTCTGTGTCTTGAACTGACTGCTTTTCACTTGAGCAGGAAGAAACACGAGGTTCCCAGTTGCACTTGACCTTGCCAAGGTCAGATGACCACACGGCAGAACTGCCTGCAGAGCAGCACAGCAGGAGCCCCCTGGGCTTACAGCAAACCAACGCGTTGCCAGGAGCTGCCGTGCCCAGCTGGGAGCAGCGCTGATGGGTGATGGACCTCCTCCCTCCCCACGGTCACCTCTGCCAGCAGACCCTGGCCACATACTCCTGGAATAACGAGCAGTGGCTGCTGTGGAGCTGAAGGAGTGAAGGGGTTTTATTAAAAGAATGATAAGGACATCAGTCTCCTTTAGAGTATTTTCTACTGAACTACATTGCATTCCTGAGATCTTTGGGATTTGGCCTATCTTCAGAAGACCTGACTGTCAGAGACAAAGGAAAACAGGGGATTACCTTCCCAGGTCAGAGCCCTAAGAGTTTGTGTGCTGTTCAACCACTGATAACAGCCAGCACTTAAAGCTCCGGGGACAAGTAAGCTCCCCTTTTCCTCAGCGTGAAGATCAATGCTATTAGCCTGGTCTGGAGAAATAAAGATGGGATTAAAGGAATGATTTAATTTGGAAGCCTGAAGCACAGCCCGATATCCAGCTGCTTTCCCACCACCTGTGTAGGTGCTGCTGTCTTCTGTCAGAGCCCCACAGCTGAGGCAGAGGGATGGAACCCACCTGTGCCCCAGTCTAGGAGCTCCATCAATCAATCTACATAAGGATTCAGAACCTGCTTTTGCTTTGTTCTCCACTGCTGTTACACAAGAAGAGCTGCACCTGACACAAGGTAGGAGAAGAAACGTTTTGAAAAGAAAGCACTGTAAAGAAAGATCATTATTTAAAAGCCTCCACTTATCCTAGAATGGCTTAGGTTGGAAGAAACCTTTAAAGGTCATTGAGCTCCAACCCAAAGCCATGGCCTGGCTGCTCCCTACCAGCTCAGGCTGCCCCATCCGGCCTGGCCTTGGGCACCTCCAGGGATGGGGCATGCACAGCTTCTCTGGGCAGTTCCAGCATCTCAACATCCTCTGAGTAAAGAATTTCTTCCTAACACTCAACCTAAATCTTTCCTCTTTACTTTAAAGCCATTCTCCCTCGGTCCTATCTCCATTAGAGCACACAAAAGATGGGATACATGAGAGATACGGTTGGAAGAACAGTGAAATAAAAGTCGTATTCTTTGGGTCAGTTGACTGCAGTTGGGAACTTCGTAGAGATTTGTAGAGTAGGAGATGTCAGCAGCCACCGCTTCCAGGACGTGTAAGAGGAAATGCTCCAAGGCGCACGGCTCCCCACACATCGCAGAGCAGAGCTCTCCTAACAGCCCCTCAAAACGGCTGCTAACTTTTCCATCAGGCCCTCACGGCAGCTGCAGCTCCCCCTGCTGCAGGCACTCCTGTCCCCCACCCATATTTCACTTGCCTTTGGGCCCACATCCCCGCTACCAAACGTTCCATTCCTGAGCGCTCTTTAGCACCAGCTGTGCTGACCAGGAACAGCAGAGGTGAAAGAGGCACTGTGTTAAAGCCACCGCAGGCCTGGCAGCAGGGAGCTCCTGCCTGCACACTGCTGTGCTGCAGTGCCTGCGCTCCTCTGGAGGTGTCACCAGCTGAGAAACAGCACGCCAAAGCCTCTCTGGCTCCGGTGCATGTGATCTATAATTTCTGCCTGCTTCAGTAAAGGCACCACCGTGTTACTTGAGAGGGACAGAGATGGCAGTGAGATGATGGGACTGACACCACGGGGGGAGCAGGCAGCTGGGAAAAACGAGTGCTTTCTCCAAAAAAAAGAAATCTGACAAGCAGCCCACAAGGTACGCAGTACGTGCAGTACAGTTCAGAGAACAGGATGTATCCAAATCAACAGTTTAATGATCCCAGGAGCCAGTTTCCCTCACGACAGCAATCCGTCACAGCCTTCATTACCCTGAAGCACCAACGCTGCCGGCACCAGAGATGTCCCTGCAGTCCCAGCGGCTCTGTCACACGCTACAGGGACGGCCGGGTCTGACAAACGCCGCAGCCGGGAGGTGCAGCCCCGGAGCTGAGCGCAGAGCCGCTCTGCAAAGGCTTTTCTGACACCCAAACCCGCGGCTGCTGCAGAGCAGGGCTGCGTTACCCACAGCAAGCAGAAAGTGGTTGGTCAGGGAGGGGAATAAACGGCACCGAGTGGAAAACAGGGCGTTTGAAAACGGGTTCTACGAGGCCCGTAGGTAGCACGCGAGTCAGACATGGCATATAAACGAAACCCATCAGGCACACACTTCCATACAGACACGGATAGGAACTGACCTTGCAGGCACGCTCCATCATGGTGCACGCTGCCCGCCGGCGCTACCTGAGGACACTGCCATTCCTCCGCACTCCGGGTTAAAACCTGTGGGCTGTTCCTAGCGGGCAGATTTAAAGGGATTTTTTACCATAAAACTGCGGAAGGCAAAACCCGATAATCCATCCCCGCTGCGTAAGATTAAATTTTCCATCTGCGTCCTCTTGAACCGCGGAATCAGACGAGAAACCGTTCATCGGTGCGTCCGGGGGAGCATTTGGAGGACGGGGAAGGAAAGGGGAAAAAAAAGCAGCAGCATCACCAGGCGCTGAGAGCCGCGCGATGTGCGCGCAGCGGGGCGGGGCGGTGCGGGGGGTTGCGGGGGGGCTCGGAGCGCGGCGCCGCCCGCAGCCATTGCGGTGCTGCTGCGCATCGCAGCTCCCGGCGCCGGGAGCGGCATTTGGAGCTGAACCGCGGAGCTCGAGGCTCGGATCTCACGCAGGACGGGTCCCGTCCGAGCTCCTCTCGCAGCACGGCTCGAGTTGCCGAGAAGATCCGGAAAGCGCGCGGGGCTGGAAGCAGCCGGCAGCCCGTGCGGCGTGCTGGGGGTGCGCAGGAACGCACGGCTGTGCGGAGCAAAGTGGGAATGGCGGCACCGTAGAATAAGCATCGTATGAGTGGGAGAGGACCTGTAACGGCAGCCCGGTGCCACCCCTGCAGTGAGCAGGGACACCCACAGCTCCACCAGAGCTTAAAGCCCGTCCCCTGCTCCAGGCTGTCTGCAGCGACCACCCCCACCTCTCTGGGCAGCCCATGCAGTGCCTCGCTGTAACACACTTCTTCCCTATAGCCCTCTTCTAGTTTGAAACCAGTTCCCCCTCTCCTTCACAACAGCCCCAGCTCTACAGTCCGTCCCCTTCTTTTTTACAGCCCCTCAGATGCCGACAGGCTGCTCCCAGCTCTCCTACAGCCTTTCCCTCTCCAGCTGCACAGCCCCAGCTCTCAGCCTGTCCCCTCAGGAGGTGTTCCACCCCTCCGCTCGTTTTGGCAGGATCACCTCCCTCATCCTGCTGGCTGCACTGCTTTGAATGCAGCCCAGGATACAGCTGGTTTTAGGGCTGTGAAAGCACACTGCTGGCTCGTGTCCATCCAGTACCCAAGTCCTTTTCAGCAGGGCTGTGCTCTATTCTTACATTTCCCAGCTTGTACTGGTAGTGGGGCTTGCCATGACCCATGTGCAGATCTTGCACTTGGACTTGAACCTCATGAACTTCATTTACTGCTCAAGCCTGTCTAGGTGCCTCTGTTGGCATCCCATCTCTTGAGTATGTTGGCTGTACCACACAGCTTGGTGTCACCCACAAGCTGCTGATGGTGCACTTGATCCCACTTATATCCCAGTATCAAAGAGCACTGGTCCCAGTGGTGATCCCTGAGGGACTCATCACTGATCTCCATCTGGACACTGAGCCATTGACCGCCAGTGTCTGGGTACAGTCTTGCAAACCAGTGCTTCATCCATCAAACAGACACCTATCAAATCCACCTCTCTCCATTTTGGAGAAAAGGATGCTATGGGGGACCGTGTCGGAGGCCTTACTGAACTCCAGACATCAGTGACATCAGTGGCTCTTTCCCTGTCCATTGATGCAGAGATGTGATCACAGAAAGCCATAAGTTGGTCAGGCAGGATTTGCCCTTGGTGAAGCCATGCTTGTTCTCCTGTACCATAACCCTGCATTCCATGTGCCTTAGCATAGCTTCCAGGAGGATCTGCTCCATGATGTTCCCCAGCAGTGATGTGACACTGACAGGCAGGTGCAGCCTGCCTCAGCCCCCAGCTGGCTGGCAGTTTCTATTCACCCAGCTGCATCCATCACAGGTTTGCTCAGAGCACCCTGCTGCATGCTGCTTTATCAAGAGGAACAGATATCATAGCATTATAGAACCATAGAATGGCCTGGGTTGCAAAGGAGCACAGTGCTCATCCAGCTCCAACCCCCTGCTGTGTGCAGGTCACCAACCAGCAGCCCAGGCTGCCCAGAGCCACATCCAGCCTGGCCTTGAATGCCTGCAGGGATGGGGCATCCACAGCCTCCTTGGGCAACCTGTGCCAGTGCCTCACCACCCTCTGGCTTAAAAACTTCCTCCTAATATCTAACCTCAACTTCCCCTGTGTCTCGGTTTAAAACCATTCCTCCTTGTCCTATCGCCATCCACCCCCACAAACAGCTGCTCTCCCTCCTATTTATACGCTCCATTCAAATACTGAAAGGTTGCAATGAGGGCTCCCTGCAGCCTTCTCTTCTCCACGCACGTAGCACTGCCTTTGTTTGTCCATTAAGACCAAAGGCACAGCACACTCTGGCCCACGGTTTGCAGAATTCGTTGTCAAAGCCAGGGAATTGTTGGCACACAAAGGAACAGCAGCCTTTCCCAAAGCTTGATCTTAAACTTCAGGATTTGATAAGATACCTAACCCACAACTTGAGATATCTTTTTCCCGATTGTAATTTAATTTAATACCAAAGCACTCCTCCGCCCTGTTGAGCCAGCCGTTGTAGCACAGCGAATCAGAAAGGTGCAGAGGTTAAACGTAGCTTCTGGCCGGGAAGCAGCTTTGCAACATTCTAACAGCTGTGCTCACTTCGCTGCCGAATGAAGTTGCTGCGGTTCCCCACGAGGTGGAGGGAGCGCTCTGCTGTGCCCCAGGCCGGGCGGAGCGGCGCCGAGCTGTGCAGGAGCAGAACGGCCCTCGGCCCGTGCTCACAGCCGCGCTGAGAGCCGCGGGGCTGCCGCTGCTTCCAGAGCAGAGCGCTACACAGGCTGGCAACCCCCGTCCTGCAGATTTGCTGTGGCCGTGAGCGGAGCGGAGATGGCAGCTGCCTCCTCCGCAGCTCCGCGCTCGGGCTGCCGGCGTTCCGCTCCGCAGAGCAGCGGCAGAGCTGCGCGCAGCCATCGGACGCGACGCCTCAGCGGCACCGCGTGCAGCGGCCGCTCTTCTGTTCGATGGCCCCGCCGTCTGCTCGGATGGTGCCACGCCTCAGGCACCCCTCAAAAAGAAGGAATTCATGCCCGTCATTAATTAATCGCCACCTGTAGGCTCCGTGCCGCCGGTCTGGGAGCTGCCAGGGTCGGTTCTGATACCAGCCCCCGCCCTTCTGCGGTCAGAAACGTTTCCCTTAGAAACGCCAGCGCAGCCGCTCGCCCCGCGCCGTGAGGAACCGCGCCGTCCCTTCCTGCTCCCAGCAGCCGCTCGCAGCGCCCACGGCGGAGCCGCGCGGGGGGCGAAGCGGGCGGGGAAACAGCGCCCCCTACCGCCCCCACCGCGCCGTCATGGCGGCGCTCCGCCTCCCCCTGCCCTCCCCCTACGGCCGTTCGCGGAGGGCGGGAGCGCGGCGGCGCCCAATGGGAGCGGGGCGGCCGTGACGGCAGCGCGGAGCCGCACCGAGCGCCGGGCACTGCGCGTCCCCAGCTCCGCGCCGCCATGTCGCGGCTCAGCCCGCCGGAGGAGAACCTGCAGGGTAAGTAAGGGCCGCGGGGCGGGGCGGTGGGAGCCGCGCGGTTTCCCTCCATCTCCGCCTTCGCTTCTCCCCGTCCGCTCGCCCTTGCCGCCGCGCTTCTCCTTCGCTGTGCCTCCGGCACCGCATCTCCGCTGCTCCGGCTTTGCTGCGCCCACGGAAACCCGGCAGGTTTTGCCCCGCACGTTTTTCCTTGCGGTGCATCCCGTCACTGCGCCGCGACGGGCAGAACTCGGCAATCTGCTCACGCTGTTGTGTCAGCGCGGTGGACAGCCTGAATCCCCCGGCGGTCGCGTGGCTCAGCGCCGTCTGCCCCGTGAGCTGCTTTGTAAGCGACAGGTTGGCTCCGGGTCCTGCCGTGTGTTGGTTGCCATTAGCGCAGGGCTGCAGCTCGGAGCTCTGTTCGAAACAGCAGAGCCGCGTGTGACCTCCCGCATGAAACAACGCCGCGGGCGGCCGCACGTGATGGGGCATTGCTGCGTGCCTGCTGCTCGACGAAAAGCGCCGGGCTGCAGCCTGGAACGCTTTCGGTAATCAGTAAACAAACTGGCGCAGGAAGTCTTAGAGGTTGTTGTTGTTGTGTTGGGCTCTTTTTAGACGTTGCGTGCGTTGAGCAATACGAACGACGTGCGGCTCTGAACGAAAATAAAAGCCCTCGTTTGCAGAAGGAGACACAATGTACCGCCTGGCTTCTGCTCGGCTCCCTGGGGCTGCAGCTCTTGCAGCACACCCCCGTGTTTTGGCACTGCGCGGTGCTCGCCGAGCTGCAGATGCTGGCACTAAAGCCTGTCCTGCCGTGTCATGGGGAGGATCAGCAGTCTCATGTTCTGCATGCCTTTGTGCAGAGCAGCCGGCCTTATTCTGGTCGTGTTTTCCATTGTGCCCGACAGGTTCCTGGGTTGAACTTCACTTCAGCAGCAATGGAAATGGCAATGGAAGCAGCACGGCAGCGACCAGCCAAGAACAAGTACCAGCTTCTATCTCCATTCACAATGGTGACATGGAGAAAATACTCCTTGATGCACAGCATGAGTCTGGAAGAAGCAGTTCCAGAGAAAGTTCCCATTGTGACAGGTAAACAAAATGCTTTACTGTAAGTATGGCTACTATGGGGAATGGTTTTACACTGAGACGGGGGAGGTTGAGGTTGGATATGAGGAGGAAGTTTCTCAGCCAGAGGGTGGTGAGGCACTGGCACAGGTTGCCCAAGGAGGCTGTGGATGCCCCATCCCTGCAGGCATTCAAGGCCAGGCTGGATGTGGCTCTGGGCAGCCTGGGCTGCTGGTTGGCGACCTGCACACAGCAGGGGGCTGGAACTGGATGAGCGCTGTGCTCCTTTGCAACCCAGGCCATGCTGTGATTCTATGAAGTAAAGCAGAGCTCACTCTTGCACAAAGCCATGTTTATGCACAGTGTTCCTGCTTGTGCACAGGCAGCACTCTTGTTCTGGTGAAGGTACCACACAGCAGCGATGTCAGAGAAAGGTGATAACAAGCAGTGTGTGTTTTGTCATGGGCTAAAACAGTCAAGAGTGCTCAGGCAACTGCTGAAAGGAATTGTTCCGTATCTAGTTTACAAAACATACAGATTTCTAGGTATATAATAATAAAATAGAAAAATACATTTGAGACTGATGGTCAGTTTTGTCAATTCATGCATTTGATTTGGATGGATTGCAACGTCTGCAGCCTGAAGTTTATCTAGCAAAAGAAACTGAGGGACTTAAAACAGCAGGATGCAGAACCTCCTTGTCTCACCTGCCTTGCTAGAGTTGAACCCCCCAGCCATCACTGCTGCCCAGGTTATTTAGTGAGCAGTGGGAGCCCAGCAGCGCAGCCTCTCGGCTGCTGAGAGGATCTCGGCACAGCGCTGTGCTTGGCAGGTTGTTGGAGCACCAGAGATGGACTGGGGGAGGTGGCAGCTGTGTATCACCTGGGGACAGATGGATCTCTTCAGTTGCGGTCAGGGCGCTGCAGCTCTTCAGGACAGCCGTGCATACAGGCTTTGTTTGTTACTTTTTGGTCCCAAAAATGATGTCATAAAGGACTGACTGAGCTCCTTCTCACTTGTTCTTCTCTTTGTTCAAGCCCTCCTCGTTCCCAGACACCTCTGGACAGCCACAGAGCTCTGGAAATAGAGAGCCACAGCAGTGGGGAAAAAAACAGCTTTCAGGTAAAAGTCTCATTTTGCTTTGGAGAGCAAATTTGTCACTGTTTGACACCCGGCAGTAGGAAACCAGCAGCTTCACCTTCTGTGTAGGGACTTCAGCAAATTGCTCTTAGGATAATGGCAGCAGAATCGCTCAGCATAGCAGATTCTCTCAGCCTCCTCTTGTCCAGAACTGACGGCCCAGGTTTTACCAATGTGGCTTTAATAGGTTCTCAAAATGGCATAAAACGTGCTTGGTCCTGTAGGCCCTCCCTTTATCCCAAACTCACTGGCTCTACAACTCCTTCAGGAATCTGTCTGAAGGAATTGCCCACCTTGGGTTAATTAAATACATTACTGCAAATTAATTGTTCTTAGATTACGTTTCCAGAAAACCTTTCATGTGTTTGAAGATGTTTGTTTAGATTTTGAGATCCAATAATCTCAAGTTAGAATACCATCAGAAATAGCTGCCTGGGCAATCTTATTTCATTGTTAAGTGTGTGTGCAGCTGCTTAACTTCTATAATCAGATCCTGCTCTTATTGCACGACCTCTGCTTCATCCAGTGTGTATGAAAGCAGCAGGGAATTGTATTCCTGTGTAGCAAAGCTTCTCTTTTGCTTGTGTGCACACATCTGTGCAGCAGAAAAGACCTGGGATCACCCCTCCTGCTGCCAACACTGTCCCAAAAGTCGTGTAGCTTTTCTAAACTGAACTGGTTTCACTTGGTGCGTGTTGGCTGGATTAAGGTTCTGCAGGTGGATGTAACATCCAGCCAGATCTGAACACAGGCAGACTTGAGAAGTGCGTTCTGCCGAGTGTCTTTAGATTTGTGAACGTGGGATATTTTCAGATCACACATGAGGATGGAATACAGGGCGCCTGGCATTTCATTTCCAGGTCAGTCTATACTTACACAAATAAGAAATACCAATGTGGGATGCGACCCCTTTCCATTCCCGTCCTGCTCTCAGGCCGTCCCCTCTGCCCACGTCTATCCAGGATGCGAATGCTTGGGGGGATGAGGACGGTACACAGCAGGGAGAGACGGGAGAAGTGAGCTGCAGGTGCAGCCTTGGGCGCAGCACAGATCTGCTTTAGAGGACCGATCGCTACCTCTGGCAGTCACGTGTTCTGTTTGGTCGTGGCTCTGTGTTTCAGTCCGAAGAGGACTTCCTTGAGAGGAGGAAAGAGGTAGAAAGGCTGCTGAAGAAAAATGCAGACTGGATATGGGATTGGTCCAGCAGGCCGGAGAACATCCCCCCAAAGTGAGTGCCCTCAGGGCTTGTGGAAGAGCTCTGACACAGCTGTTATTGCCACCAGCAGAAATGTGTGCGTTATTGTTCTGACTGCATTTGGTGTGTGTGTGTGAGTGTTCTGACTGCTCTCTTCCTCAAAATTAGGGAGTTCCTGTTCAAACACCCCAGGCGCACAGCCACGCTCAGCATGAGGAACACCAGTGTCATGAAGAAAGGGGGGATATTTTCAGCAGAATTTTTGAAGGTTTTCCTCCCATCTCTGCTTCTTTCTCATTTGCTTGCCATTGGACTGGGGTAAGTTTATTTTTTTTTTTGATTGGCTTTTTTTCTTTACCTGTTTTCTCAGGTCTGACCGACTTCCTCCTTGTCTGCAGCTGAGCTGTGTGCTTTTCACCACACAAGGATGGCAGTTGGTTGTTCAGGGTTTCCTATTTGCCTGTGGTACTGCTGAATGCACCCAGTTAACTTTAATGCTTTTCTTAACCAGCTGAGAAATCTTCTAAACAATTGAAGAGCAGTGAAATTAAGATTGCATGTATGTACTTCTCAGTTCCATGGGAGGTGTGAGCTTTAATCTCAAAAGGTAAAAATGTAGGGCAGCTGTGAAAGCACAGCAAGGTGGGAAATGGTGGCTACAGAAACACGAGTCCACAAGGATGACAGTAAAACCAATGGCTTACAAACACCAGGTGAAAGAGAAAGCACAGAGTGTTTGACTTCAGGAAGGTCCCGAAGTGCTGCACTGTCGCTGACCCCGTGCTTATCTCTGACTCCTGCATTCCTGAAACTGAGCAGCTTGCTCAGAGAATTACTCACAGTTTGGGAAGCAGTTGTCAGAGAAGGGTTTGCACAAACAACCAAAGGCCGAGAGCCGCGGTGGGCACTGCAATAGCTGGTGCTGCTGCCCTGGCTGTAACTTAAATAACTTGTAACCTGAGAATGGAAAACACTTTCTTTCGCAGGCTGTACGTCCCTCCTGAGCTGAAGCCAAATGCTTACTGACCCCATGTTCTTGATCCTCAGGATTTACATTGGAAGGCGCCTCACAACCACAGCTTCGAGCAGTTCTTTCTGAAGGCACCCGACGTGGTTTCGAAGCAAACATTGGTGTGGGAATGCAGGAGGTGAGCTGCAGCACCTGTCCCAGCAGCGACTGCGCCATCAGCGTGCACTCGTTCTGTGAACGCTGTGTTCCTCGTTTAGTAAGAGTGTAAGGGAAAAGACACTAAAGCTAACGTCTCGTGTCGTCTTCTGGAGCAATGCATAACGCATCTGAATCATGCTCTGGCAGCTGCTGCCTTGCTTTGTAGTGAAGTATCTCTGAGAGCTCACATAAATGGGTGTTTAAAAACAGAAGCTTAGCTTTGAGTATCTCGCTGAGTCACGGTTGCAATATTAAAGTGCTGCTTCCTTACACTTTGTAGATGTGGATGTTTGTCACTGCTCTGCAGTGGTGACGATGAGGGATTAGCCCAAAACGACGTGTGGCCTTATGTATCACAGACAGGATTCTCAGTAAGCTTTCACCTCGCTTGAAGCTGTTTCCTTTTAGACTTTGCTCAGCTCTCCTTCACTTTTGTGTGAGATGTGAAACGGGCACCTGGAAGAAATTGCTCTATTGGTGAAACTTCCATCAGTTTTTACTACTCCAGTGTGACACGCAACAGCCTGAAATGAAATTTGGACTCTAGTGCCTAATAATTTCTTCTGCAAAGGCAATTTAACTCCCCAGCTAATTGGATCTCCTTCTGCTGTATCTCAGACTGTCGCTTCTCAGTCTTTTTTACCTGTAAAATAAATTTGCATCTTCTATTTGCCTCATCCACATATAAACTTCAAGATCTGCTTGCTTGCTTGTACTAACGGAATGCCTTTACCTACAGTAATTTTATCTTATTTAATGAGAAAAAAGCAGATGTTTGCCAAATTGTTTTGTATATTTCAATAAAACAGTTCCTCACAGATTGCTTCTTTGTCTTCATGCTTAAGCACTGTTTCATACTTAAAGTGCATAATTGACAAATCAACAAGAGGTTTATATAGAAAATAATTTAATCATTGGTTCTTGAATCTGAATACGGGTAAGCTGTCTTTGGAAGTCGCTTAATGAACAGAAACTCACTGAGCTTGCAGAGACACTTTCTGTTCTACCGCGGTCATTTAGAAACAAATTAGCTTTCTACTTTTTGTCCTTATTTAGCAGCACTGATTCCTTCTGTGCTGAATCTCTCAGGGCAGAGCAGCGCTGCCTGTGGGCCCCAATCCAAGCAAGGCACAATTCATTTTCCATGGGCTGATCCTGCTGAGGCCGCTGGAAATCCCCACTTGCAGGGTTTGCTCAGGATGCCTGCTGGAGGAGCAGGCTCTGCTCGTTGGCTGAGTGTATGTCCATCTGCAGTGAAAAAAAATACATCATCATCAGCTTCTGAATAATAATTCTCATGAAATTGAGCTTTTTAAGAAATCTGACTACAGTCTGAGCTGAATCTCAGGGTTCCTCCTCAACAATAATAAAAGCAGTGATGGCAGAGCCATCATCAGAACAACCGCTTCCTCCCTTCGGAAAAAAAGAGGGTTTAATGGTGCTGTATCTGAATTTCAGGTTTTCTTACAAATACAAAAAGAAAAACCCAAAAAAACCAAGCCTAAACACGCATGCAGCAATTCCTCACATTCACAAGGACCTTTACGTGGCAGCAAGTGGAGCGGGGCGTTCTGCAGCCCCAGCACACCTTGTGCATTCATGCCTTATTCCACCAGGGCTCCTGGCACATTTGTAGTAGACAAGTAGAAAGCCATGAGAAGTAAAGATATGCTGCATTGGAAGCTTCCTGTGCTCCAATAACTACTGGCATTTCAGAAAGGATTCGTGGAAGCTGCTAATGACACCTCAGCATTCCAGCAGTGCGGCCCCTGCGTTCCCCATCCATCCCTGCCCTCAGCCTGTGCCCACTCACAGCCTGCAGAGCAAAGTGAGGAAAGCCCAAACCCACCCCAGGTGGCATTTGGTGATACAGAAATAATCTCAGATGCAGGAAAACACTGCTTACCCTGCTCAGAAAGGCCAGGACAGGGAAGTTGCATGGGAGTCTTGAAGTGCTCGCTGGGCACCAGAGAGGTCACTGTTTGGAGACACGGCCTTTGGAGGAGAACCTCTGGTGAAAGCTGGGCAGAAACCACTTCTCTGACTCCTGAGCCTACAAACAGAGCTTCCTGGAACGACAGGACATGGCAACCTTCTGTGGTGAGACACACGCAGCCCTTAAGGCTTTAGAGGTAGGGACAGGAACTGAAAGATATCCCCGTTCCTGATAAGCAATAAGCTTACCCTATTGGAAAGGAAATCAACATCTGTCCTTACCTCTTCTTGCTCCTGGAGCTGAATACAGCTCCTTACCTCCTGCTGCTGAAGCAGGGCACAGCTTCCAGCACACAGTGCCCCTGGAGCCGGTAGGACCGCCCTCAGCTCTGGAGACTCAAGAAACATTGTGGCACATAAGACACAAAGCAGAAAGGCTCTGTGTGACAGCCGTGCCCAGGAGGGGTCACAGAGCACAGCGTGCACAGAAGGCAGCAGCACTCAGCGCGCAGAGCTCAGGGCACAGCTTTGGGCCAGGCTCTGTGCAGGGGCTCCCAGTGCAGCTCCTGCCACATCCCACAGCTATCAGTGCTGTTTTTGTTAAGCCCTTTTCACCCAGGCCCTAAGTAACAGAGCACCAAGGATTCACCACGTCGAAACGAGCAGTTGTTTACAGCAGCCTTCAATCATCTGACCCACAATTCATGCACAGCCCATTCCTCTTGTTCCGTTTATCCCCCCAGAACCAGCCGAGGACAGAAGTTATTTCATTTCAGGACACATCTGCAAAGCTGTGGATTCGTACATCGCTTGAAGCTGCCTGTGTGCGCTGGGACCTTTCACACACCAGCCTCAAACTCTGCACACAGCGCCAAGGCAGCAGCCTCGTTTTTAAGCAGATGAATCATCAGAGGCTACTTAACTGACAGAGGTACGAAATAAGACTTCATCATATCCTCTTTATACTGACATTCCACTTACAGCTGCTGAAAAAACAGATCAGAAATAGACAGCACAAAAGTATCCACTGTGTGCAGACGGCCAGGCACGGGCCCAGCCTGCAGGTCGCACACAGCACAGGGCTCAGTTGGTTAGCACAGCCAACCATCTCACAAAAGGAAGAAAAAGCTGTTGAAATACACAGAGCACATCCAGGTAAACATTTAAAATTTATTAAACTTTTTGGTCAAAATAATTGAACAAGTATGTACAATCCCATTGTATTAGCTCTATTATGCATTTCAGGAACAAGGTCAAATTGAACCCTTTCATGACCCAGCAGTTCCATAGTTCAAGATTTGCAAATAGTGTCACAACCAATATACAGTAGAAGGTTTTTTCTTTTTTTTTTTCTTTTTTTTTTTCTGTTTTAATTTAAACTTTATTTGCAGAACCTCAAAGTTAGCCGTACTTACTAGCTTACCGTGAACAAGAGTGGCACTCTATGGACAATAATTGAGGGTAAGAACAGACACTCTCACGTTTGCATACGCGGATCTGATTCAGTAATCATAACACACCTTCATTCCAATACAAGCGGAGTGTAAACCACACTTCTTGTGTTTGCTCTGGGAAGCTGAAGGGATCTCTGAGAACATTGAACTTGCAGGCACGTTTCCCAGAGCGCGACGCCCAGCCGCCTGGCACTACCAGGTGTGCTGACCAGCTTCGGGAGCAATGTCTCACCCAGTTAGCTCAGGGTGAAGAAGAGGTTGATGCATTTTAGGCCCCTTTGGAACAAAAAGAAGTACCTAAGGCTTTAAAAACCAAAACAACTAGCAAGAACAGTTATAACATAGTAACACCAGCTAGCAGCCTCAGTATTTTCTGACAGCCCGATGTCAGAACGTACTAAAATGTATTAAGCTGTGTTGCTGCTTGGCATAATCAAGAAACTTTTTATTGCTGGTTTCGACTGCAATGTGGAATACAAGATATTATGCCAAACATTTAAAATAAAGTGTATCTTCATGACAAGTACTAAAAAGGTTAAAAAACATAATGCACATAAGGTATGTCTCTACCTAACATTGAGAGGCATCAGATGAACTTAGATTTTTTTATCTTCAAAGAAGAAAATTTGTTTTCCCTTCTGTGCAAGGTGGTCGCTTTCTATTAAGGCTGCAGACTTCTTTACGCTGACCTCTTCCATCTCCTACTCTGTATACAAAAGCTGTTTTACAAGAAAACCAGTGCAACTTAAACTAAATGACACTTCCAAGGAAACTCGAAATCTAGAATTCGAAATACTACACAAAAAAGTTTGTATTAGTCTGCTAGAAATCAGTGTGTTGGGACAAACGTCGTGAAAAAGCCATCCTGATGGGCAGACCTGACAATCTCAGTACATGCAATAAAAAAAAAAATAAAAAAGACTGAATACATACCTTCAGATTTAAAAACACTTGTTTTAGTTTGTTATTTTATTAAGTGGTTTACACCAGAAGGTGTGGCAATAGATACAACTGGTGAGTAAATACCCATGGAAACCTGTCTAGCAACCCAACTCAAGACCTACCTAAGTGCTCCAAGGTAAAAACACCTAAGCCTAGATACAGGCCAGAGGAGGAATGTTTACAGGCATTAAGCACAATATATGTCTTGAAAGGCCCAAATATTACAGCAGAGAAAGAGCGCAGAAGATAGAAATTACGTTTCTATGACTTTTTCGTTTTCTTCTTGGGTGTTAAATTTTTGGTCTATAAACTGGAAAGGAAGGCTCAGACTTCAATAAATACATTTGTTTTGAGTATTGGCCCGATTGAGCACTGTCCATCAGCTCTGCCTCCAGAGGGTTTCCCTCAGAAAACTGCAACTGACGCTCCCTACCCTCGGCGAAGGCAGAACCGCACCGTGAAAGCAAAAACCAGGCCAGATCCTCTCCTTTACCTAAAGGGAAGTAAGTGCATCAATGTTCTTCACTGGTAGGACAACAAGGCCTTCTCTTTTACAGATAAACAGCTGAGCTTAACTATGCAAGAAGACAATTCTGTCCTCAGGTCAGTCACCTTTAGTTAATTTTGTCCTGGAATATATACAAATTATTGGTGGCAGCTACAGCGATGATGTTCTCCACGGGGTGCCACGCTGTATGAAGAATCTTCTTGTTGAAGTCCAGACTGTCAACATTTATCTCATCTTTCTTCCTTTTACCACCCGTACACACTTTGCGTGGCTTCAGGATGGCACGAGGCTTGCTGCTCTCCCTGGACGCCTCCAAGGTGACGTCCCGCCGCGTGCTGCGGTCAAACATCCTGAAGAAGTTGTTGTACGAGCCGGTCATGATAGCGCTGCCGGGAACAGACAGGAAACGTCAGGCTCCCAGCAGGGCAGCTCGCTCCCTGCCTTCCTCTCCAAGGCAGCCCTGGCCCTTGTTCATCGCAATGGAAGCAAAGCAGCTCTTCCTATTCCTACTGCATCCCTCCACCCTTCAGCACCAGGAGCGACAGAGGAAGCACATGCACTGCAAGCTACTTAATTTCAGACTGTCACAAGAGCCTTCCTCTGCACTGCGCTCACCTTCATTACTAATTACCAAAAGTTATTCTGAAGCAATAGCATTAACCCCTCATGTGCGTCTCTGATGCAGCTCTTCAGGAACTCTGCATAAAATACTGAATTCGTTTTTAAAAACACCTAACTTTCAATTACCAGCTTGCTTGTAGTCTCAAGAAACACGCTTGAAACTGAAGGTAAGCAGCTCATTTTTTTCTGTGTTAAACACTGATCTCTAGCACTTGAAATAGGAAAAGCTGCCACCCCACACAGAAAAGCTGCCTGCACTCCTGCATGTTGTTTAAGATCTCAGTCACCTTAGCATAACACTGTCAGCTTATTTATCAACACAACTGTCTTCATGGTATTCCAAAATCAACGAGTAAGA